TTTTAAATTTTCTTTTTTTCACATTTACAGAATTGAAAATTTTCATATGGTCTAATATTTTGATCTTTTCTTAGTTATTTTTAACTTCCAGGGGTCAGATATTCATTTACACTTTATTTTTGTTAAAGATTTTCGGAAACTTTACATTTTAAGAAATGTTACATATTTTTGTTAAACATTTTTAGAAACATGTTAAACATTTCCAAGTTCCATTTGGAACTTACTTTGCTGTATTTTTATGTAATCTGTAGAAAATTCTAATCTTAACAGTATTAATCCTTTCCCCATCACAGTTGTCACCAATATTGTCCCCAGCATTTTATTTGCCATTTAAATTTTATTTTGATTTTTGACATGTAGAGTTTTTCATTTGTTGTCTGTAGTTAAATTTACTAATCTTTTTCCTCTTCTTCTTTTTTCTAAGCTTCAAAAGAGACCTCCCTTATTTAATAAATATAAATTTATATTTTCTTTTTTCTCTACCTCTCCTTCCTTCTTCTTCTCTCTCTCCTCTTTTCTTCTCCTCCTCCTTCTTCTTTTTTTAAGGGTTTGCCTCAAGGCCAGGTTTAAGTAAAAAAAGTCGCTAAACAAGCCCCAATCACTTTGGTCTCTTGGGGTTTTTGTAGACAGCACCCCTCAAAAAACCTGTAGGATTGGAATGGATTTCTCTACAACACAACTCCCTCCCTTCTCCTCCTACATGAAAAACAGCTCAGTGTCAAGCTTTCCAATAAGTGTATGTACATCTGACGATCCATAACTGCCAAAGTAAAAGGTGGCCTTTAGATATTCTGTATATAAATTTAGCCATTTATACAGAGAGAATGAAAAAAAAAAATATGGCCTGATTCTGATCAGATGCCGCTTGTTCCTGCGTACACCATGGGGTTCTGTTCTATGTCACCGCCTTTGAAGTCAGAGGGAGCTCTGTGAAGGACGGCGACTCGAACACCGGGCTCTATACATGAAGGTGAGAACTGCCATCAGGATAAACGACTCGGCGATGTGGTGGAGGGAACACTGGCTTAACACACTTGGTGGCTACCCTGCAGATCCCACTGTCTGTGAGAGCTTTGTTCCACCGGAGCAAACAAGAACGTTTTGAATCTTGACATACAAGGGCTCATTCAGCAGAGCATCCCCTGTTATGAGAGGAGGCACAGTGCTGGGCAGACATTGCAGTTTTTAGCCAGTACACTGAGGGCATTTCTCTCACATTCTCTCCATCTGTAAAGAGACTGTTTTCAAGACCCCAGAATGGTTTTCTATAGATTGGGGAGATGTATAAATATTTTCACATGTTTGTATTCACAAATAATGGGCGGCAAACCACAGTCATATGAAAGTAGCCAGACCTTTTCAATATGGAAAGGAAAAAATTCTTTGCAGATTTTAGCTGAGTGTGTTATTTGGTGAAAAGCAGAATCCTCCTGCAATGCAGGAGACTCCAGAGACACGGGTTTAATCTCTGGGTCCAGAAGATCCCCGGGAGGAGGAAAGGGCAACCCACTCCAGTGTTCTTGTGGGAAATCCCAAGGGCAGAGAAGCCTGGCGGGCTACAGTCCATGGGGTCATAGAGAGTCGGACACGACTGAGCACACACGTATGTAAGTATCATTAGTGCCAAGACTGAAGAAACCTGCTGTAGATCTTGGAATAGGAACAATGAGAGAAATTTTGACATGAAGAAGGTATTGGAAATGAAGAATCAAGTACATTTCCTTTCTGTCTCACGAGCATTATTCTGGTCACTTACCTACAGAAACTTTCTGCCTTTCACAATGAGTTATGTATCATTTTTAGGACTCCAAATCAAATAATGGTTTCAGGTTGTTATTCAACAAACATTGAAATGAATAGAGGTCAAAGAGCAAATTGCCTAAATTGATGGGTGAATTTTACTACCATCCCATGCCTTGACTTTGAAAAGTGATGCCCGCTTACTGATTCCTTCATCACATCCTTCTGCTTCTGTCTCCAGGCCCTTGATTAAGCTGTTGCATCCACCGGTTTCAAGGCCCTTGACTTCTAAGGACCCCTCTCAGAGCATTTTGTATTTGGAATTTCTCCAAGTGGATAGCATTGCAGTGGAGGAGCTATTTTTTACTTAGAGTTTTGGATTCGTTGTCATAAAACTTGTATCTACTTCTGCATATAGAATACCCTTTCTTTCCACAGGTGATTAGCATGTAGACAATATTTATTTATTTTATTAAAAAAAATTTTTTTTGACAATATTTAAATCTTTGGGACTGGATGAGATCATCAAGGGAAGAGATGGAAATGGAGGAGAAGAGAAAGGACTGAGTTCTGGAGCTCTCCAAATCTAAGAAACTGTGAGAAGAGAAAATATATCTGGGAGTTTATCCTGAAATAATATACATGGAGCAGCATCATTCTTTGAAATAAGAATTATGTTGTAATATGATAGTTATAAACGATTCTAGTTTGTGAACATGCCTTTTTTGAATAAGCAGTGCTCAACAAAAGCTTTCTGACTGTTACTCCTGCTCTCAATTCATCCTTCTTCCAATCTATTCAACATACTGCTTAGATTAACCTTGGATTAACTTTAGTTATTTGTACCTGGATGAAAATGAAAAATTGGGTAAGTATAATACATTATATTTATATGATGAAATATAGTGCAGTTAAATTTTTAATAAGAAAATATTTGCAGGATAATGCTAATGAATTAAGCATACTCTCAGTTAATACACACACACACACACACACACACGCATGCACACACAAATATATATACCGGAAAAACTGCTATTAGTTTATCCATCAAAAGTATAGTGTGTTTTTGAATGGTGGGTTTCCAGGTGACTTTTATTTTTATGCTTTTCTGTGTTTTCCAAATTTCCTCTTGGCCACAAGGCATGCAGGATCTTCATTCCCCAACAGGGGTGGACTCCTTGGCCCCTGCAATGGAAGCGTGATTCTTAATCATTGGACTGCCAGGGAAGTTCTGATTTGACTTTTTTAAAAAAATTGAATATATTTGATGTGTGACACTGTGTAAGTTTAAGATGTACAGCATATTACTTTGATCCATTTATATACTGTAATATGATTGCTGATATAGTGGTATTTATCACAGTACCTAATTACAGTGCAATGTTATTGTCTGTATTCATTATCCTGTGTGTTAGATCTCAGCAGCTCATTCACTACTCATTGCAAATTTGTACCCTTAAACACCGCCACTCTTATCCACCCCCCAAACCCCCTACCCCGCTGCCCTGGCTCCTGGTACACATGATTTCAGTCTGTTTTTTTTTACAGGTTTAACTTTTTAAGATTCCATTTATAAGTGACACCATACTTATCTCGCTTAGCGTAATGTGCTCAAGGTTTGTCCATGTTATTGCAAATAGAAGGATATACTCCTTTCTCTTGGCTGAATAATATCCTTTTATGTATATGTACCTCATCTTTTTTTAACCCATTCATCCATTAATGGGCATTTGTGAAATGAAAAGTGAAGTATTAGTGGCTCAGTTGTGTTCAACTCTTTGTGACCCTATGAACTGTAGCCCACCAGGCTCCTCTGGCCATGGCATTCTCCAGGCAAGAATATTGGAGTGGGTTATCATCTCCCTTCACCAGTTCACCAGGGGATCTTCCCAACCCAGAGATTAAACCCAGGTCTCTTGCATTGCAGGCAGATTCTTTACTGTCTGAGCCACCAAGGAAGCCAATAGGTGCTACATCATTTTTTAAAAATCCATTCATACTTTTATGGGTATTTGGGTGGGTTTCCATGTCTTGGCTATTGTGAATAATACTCTGATAAACATCGGAGTACATTTAACATGTTGGATTCCTGTTATCATTTTCTGTAGGTCTATTCTCTGAAGTGGAATTGCAGCTTTGATTCTTTACTACGTACAAAGATAATACTCAAATATCTTAATTTAGCAGTCCGACCTTCAGACTAGAGGTGCAAACTCCTTATCAAGCATCTTTGTTTCAGTTAAAAGGATCTGTTCAAGGTCTCTGGATGCGCTCTGTATTTTCCTACCTCCATGTGTTTCTGAAAGCTGAAATCCTTTTTATTTCCTTCCTTACCCTATAATTTCTACAAGTCCTTTAAGATACTATTCAAGTTCCACCTCTTACTTTTTTGATTCTTTACTACGTACAAAGATAATACTCAAATATCTTAATTTAGCAGTCCGACCTTCAGACTAGAGGTGCAAACTCCTTATCAAGCATCTTTGTTTCAGTTAAAAGGATCTGTTCAAGGTCTCTGGATGTGCTCTGTATTTTCCTACCTCCATGTGTTCCTGAAAGCTGAAATCCTTTTTATTTCCTTCCTTACCCTATAATTTCTACAAGTCCTTTAAGATACTATTCAAGTTCCACCTCTTACTTGGTACCAAGACCATTAATGATGGAAGAGGTTTTAGAGATTAGGGCTCTGATATTTATTCTGCATTTACCACAGGATGCTTGACATTATTGTGTCTCGAATTTATCTCCCCAACTGGCATTTTGATTCTTAGAGTACAGGTTCTGGGACTTAGAGTTCTTGGTATTCCCTGATATCATTGTGTCTTGTTCACTGTAAATGTGTAATAAATATTTGCAATAGGTTAGACCCGAGGTTATTTCAAATATACACATACACATATACATTAGTATGTATACAGATATATACACATACTGGAGAAGGAAATGGCAACCCACTCCAATAGTCTTGCCTGGAGAATCCCATGGACAAAGGAGCCTGGCGGGCTACAGTCCATGGGGTCACAGAGAGTCAGACACGACTGCATGACTAACACACACACACACATATACACATACATTTTAAAATCTGAAATAACTCTGGATCTTTTTACATCTATGTTTCTATCTTCAAAATGCACTGAGCTTATTCCACAGTTAATTTACTCTAAGGGAAACATTTTAAATGCAAGTAGTTATAAACCATTGCTTAAGCATTCTTTCTTCCCTTACAGAAGGTCATTGGTCTTCTCTTCAGGGAATGTTCTCTTCTGACTGTCTACTAAAATACAATGTAGCTTTACTTTTCTTCTTTATTTCCTGATCCCAAATATAATCTCCACACATGCACTATCTTTGTAGGTGAAATACTTCCTGCCTCAGTGAAATCCAGCTCCCAGATGAATTTCTGTTGGTTTAGAGAGCAACTTGAGGATTCTGCATTTGGCACCATTCTCTTTCCTTGGCATCTCTCCACAGTCACCATTTAGAAAACTCCAGGTCGGCAGGATTTCAATCCATCATACACTCTGTGGAGATTAAAAAAGGATTGCATTACATTGGCTTGAAAATGTGATGGAAAATGAAATTTGCTTTACCAAGAAAGGAAGCTTTTGAAACTCAAATTGTTCTAATAGGACATTTATACAGAGACAGTTCTTTGAGTAAAACGGCATAGATGGTGAAAGTTCCTTCTTATTTAGATTGTCACTATATAAGTATCATAATTTTTAAAATCACTCACATGAATAAACTTACAAAACAATATGATTATATTTATGGTCTTAATTATAAAGCAAGCTTGGATTAAGATCTTAAGAAAAGTCCTAAGCACTGAAGAGATTATAATGCATATGAAATAATATCCTATTATTTACTTTAAGATTAAAATCATCTTAAAGTTAAATAAGTGTGAGGAAGTCCCAACAAGGTGTGATTTTTTTTATATCTATGCATTTGTAAAAATAGCAAATTCTTTACAAAAATTTTTTTTGGATTCTGGTTTGCTGGTGCCTTAAGTACATGCTTCATTTGCCTCTTGGGTAATTCTGCTTATATAAATGTAAATGCATTAAAAAAGATCTGGAAAGGAGCATGCCAAATCATGAACAGTGGTTACACCTGAGGAGTGGGCTGGGGAATGGAGAGCATTGTATTTTTCCATTTTATTTTATTTTTCCCCCTAATCACTTATAGCATTTTATTTCATGCACAGTCATTAAAAACTAACATGACAGTAGAGTAAAATACTTCATCCTTTTTTTTAAATCAAAATTTCACATTAAAGTGCTTATGTTTGATACATGTAAATGCAATACAGAGGGCCGCTGAAATCATCCTTCATATTGCATTGATTTTTCTTTCTCTCTCATCCAATAACATGGTTAGACAGCTAGACACTATTAGTTTTTTTCTCCCTATATTACTGCTAATAATCATCACCACTAACATCCATTGAGCTCTTTCAGTCTGCCAGGCACTGGTACAGGGCTCTGCGTGTATTATTTTTTTTTAATATTTTTAAATTTTATTTGGATTCACTAGGTCTTAGCTAGGCTTTCCTGATGGCTCAGCAGGTAAAGAATCCCCCTGCAAATGCAGGAGACACAGAAGACTTGGGTTTGGTCCCTACGTGGGGAAGATCCCCTGGAGGAGGACATGGCAACCAACTCTGGTATTTCTTGCCTGGAGAATCCCATGGACAGAGTAGTCTGGAGGGCTACAATCCAAAGGGTTTCAAAGAGTTGGACAAGACTAAGCAACTAAGCCCAGAATCTTAGTCATGGCACACAGGATCTTCACGGGAGCACTGAGCTTTCTAGTTATGGCCCGTGGACTTCGTTGTCTGGGGCCTGTTCCCTGACCAGAGATTGAACCTGTGTCTGCTGCATTGCAAGGCAAATTCTTAACCACTGGACTCCAGGGAAGTCTCTCCATGTATTAACTTGTTGAACTCTCACAACAAACCCTGTGAAGTGAGTATTATTATTATTGTCATTTTACAGTTGAAGAAATAGAGGCTGGGGAGATTTAACTTAACGTTGTACAAGCTAGGTCACGCAGCTAGCAAGTGATAGAACTGAGCTATGTCTCTGGCCATCGGACTTCAGATTCCATATAGGAAAGAGGGAGGGAGTGGAACTAGTTTGTGGTTTAAAGTTTTTTCTTTATTTCATAGTTGGCATATACACTTTTGTCTAATTGGGAGGTGACTAAAGGCATCTGGGTCTGGTTGATGTGTTGGCTGAAAATTACTATGATTATGAGGATGATTATTATAGTATTTAGTAATTATGCAGTGCTTTATACTTCAAAGAGCTGTGCTTTATAATCATTTATTAGCTATGTCTCACATCTCTACAATATAAAGATGCACTTATTGGGAGCACTGAGCTTTCTAGTTATGGCCCGTGGACTTCGTTGTCTGGGGCCTGTTCCCTGACCAGAGATTGAACCTGTGTCTGCTGCATTGCAAGGCAAATTCTTAACCACTGGACTCCAGGGAAGTCTCTCCATGTATTAACTTGTTGAACTCTCACAACAAACCCTGTGAAGTGAGTATTATTATTATTGTCATTTTACAGTTGAAGAAATAGAGGCTGGGGAGATTTAACTTAACGTTGTACAAGCTAGGTCACGCAGCTAGCAAGTGATAGAACTGAGCTATGTCTCTGGCCATCTGACTTCAGATTCCATATAGGAAAGAGGGAGGGAGTGGAACTAGTTTGTGGTTTAAAGTTTTTTCTTTATTTCATAGTTGGCATATACACTTTTGTCTAATTGGGAGGTGACTAAAGGCATCTGGGTCTGGTTGATGTGTTGGCTGAAAATTACTATGATTATGAGGATGATTATTATAGTATTTAGTAATTATGCAGTGCTTTATACTTCAAAGAGCTGTGCTTTATAATCATTTATTAGCTATGTCTCACATCTCTACAATATAAAGATGCACTTATTATGCATTTTTGTAGACGGAGAAACTGAGGCAGAGTAAGATGGGTTACATCTTCATAAGTAAGTATGAAGGTAGTATGCAACTGGCTGAGACTTGTTAAACAGCTCATTTTTGACAACAGTTTAATTTTTTACACCTTTTAAAGGAAAATGTAAGTTCCAACTTTTTTCTCCATTTTTAATTACAAATTAAATGTAAAATGTGCTGATGACATATTGAATGTTGATGAGGAATGTTGATGACCATTCCTCTATTTTTAAGCTTTTATTGCATTTGTGTCAATGTGACTTTTTTGCTTAAATTCAACCTTGCTATCTCCCATTTCTCTACACAAGCATAATTTGACTACAGATACTGGTTTCCAGTGTCAATATTATATCTCTTCAAATTGCTTCCATTGTCTTTAAAAAATGCCTATTTTTTTCACCACATGTATAGGACTCTTTATGACATAATTTGCAATAAAGACAAACTGTGCAAGAATTATATTGGAATTAAAGGAAATCCTGGACATCTGCAGTTTGTACACTTCAAAACTGAAGATTATAAACGTGTCAGTATGACTTGGGATAGAAGGAGGAGAGAGATGAGAAGGATCTGTGTGGGTTTAATATAGTACCCTATAAAAGGCCTGGAAGAGATGCATGGACTCTTCTATAAATCTAGTAGTCTCTTTCAGTTGGGAGGCAGTCATGGCCATAGCACATGGGAAAGGCTCAATAAATATTAATTCAGTGGTTAAGACCATGTCTCCAGAGACAGGCTGCCTGGGTTCTAATCGTGGCCCCATTACTTGCTTGTTACCTGAACTAGCTGTGCTTTTGTTTCTTCATCTAGGGAAAAAAAAAAAAATCACAATCCATAAAGTTAATTTATCATGAAGTTCATTCAAGTATTTGCTATTATTTGTCATTTCTGTTTCCAAGGCACTTGACAAATAACATCAGCTACAATGCCTGTAAAATGTTGGTGGTAATCGTATTTATAATCTGATGCCTGCGCTTGCTTGGCTCGTTTAGAAATGGTACAATATGGTACCCCACAATTTTCTACCCCAGTAAAACAATTTAAAATTACCTCAAAATACATATTATATAAGGCAGCATTCTATTTTTGTTTCTCTAAGATTCCCATATGATTCCACACACCAGTGTCTCCAACCTCAGTGTGTGCCATGAAGATTTCATGTGTGGTGAAGCCCACTCATTATCTACTGAATAAAGAGCTACACAGGAGCTAAAGGCATTGACACCTTGTGGGATGCATGCCCAGTCTGCCATAGTGTCCAAATTCTCAAGAGACACCAGAAACTGGGATTGTTATTTTACATGACATTACTCAATTTAAGATTTTTGACTCAGTTTATTTCTTGGTACAGAACTCTGTGGGTCCAACAACACAGTTGAGGCCATTTGTCAAATCTCTGCAAAATATACTAGTACATAGATATGATAGATATGAGTATACTGTGCTGTTATTCAAACCGGTTTTTAAAGCACTTGTGCCAAGACATGAATAAAAGGTAAAGAAGACAAAATATGACAAAGCCTTCATGAAACTCACAAGTCTAGTGGAGCAAAAGGCAATAATGTCGCAGAAGAGGGTGAAAAATGGCCCAGCAGAGTGTGAAACCCAGGACTTAAGCCTGGTGATTTAAGTATTTGATCAGGCCTACGTTAAAACAAACAAACAAAACCCACAAAGAACCGCATTATTTCAAAAGTTGGCAAACTGGTGGACACCCAAGTAGATGGCTCTTTTGTTTAACAAAACACCTTAATGGATTTTTGGGGTGGGGGCTATGCATAGACATGGTGACAGCCTTGCACAGTTCCAGGGGGACCATTCCTATTGTGCCCTGTGCAATTGGCACCCCCTTGAGCACCATTTAGGTTGTATTCTTTGTGAATGGTACCTCCTAGAATTGTGCAAGTTGGCGACTCTGTCAACAAAGATAGGCCTAGAGTCTGGTCTGAGAGGAGGATTGAGAGCTAAATCCTTCTACATAATAAAGTGGGAGGAATTTTAAGTCTTTGCCTAGGGGGTGGAGGCAGGAGGGTGGAGGGATGCTTGTAATGGGGAGCAGAAAAGGGTTTGGAGAAAAGATCTCTAGGATGAGGATGGGCCAGCAATGTGACAACACCCTGGAGCCTATGAATCTGGTGAGAGATTTCTTGTAATTTTTAAGAGAGATATGTATAATCCTTTGTTATCCTCTTTAACCTCCAGTAGATACTGACAAATGAAGTCAATGCTTTTTCTGTGGCATCAGCTACAATCTTTGAACCTTTAATGTATGAATCGGGAGATAACCAGGAAAGAGTCAATGCTCAGGCTCACATAGCAACACTTGGCTAAACATATGAGGACTATGATAACTTGCCTTTTTATTGCTTTTCTTCAAAAAAGTTCAGAGAACTTATGCTTTTATTTCCTCATCTGTTCTAACATTCCAGTGTGGGAGGGGCAAATGTATGATAACATTATTTAGAGATGGTACTGTGCTGTTATTCAAACCGGTTTTTAAAGCACTTGTGCCAAGACATGAATAAAAGGTAAAGAAGACAAAATATGACAAAGCCTTCATGAAACTCACAAGTCTAGTGGAGCAAAAGGCAATAATGTCGCAGAAGAGGGTGAAAAATGGCCCAGCAGAGTGTGAAACCCAGGACTTAAGCCTGGTGATTTAAGTATTTGATCAGGCCTACGTTAAAACAAACAAACAAAACCCACAAAGAACCGCATTATTTCAAAAGTTGGCAAACTGGTGGACACCCAAGTAGATGGCTCTTTTGTTTAACAAAACACCTTAATGGATTTTTGGGGTGGGGGCTATGCATAGACATGGTGACAGCCTTGCACAGTTCCAGGGGGACCATTCCTATTGTGCCCTGTGCAATTGGCACCCCCTTGAGCACCATTTAGGTTGTATTCTTTGTGAATGGTACCTCCTAGAATTGTGCAAGTTGGCGACTCTGTCAACAAAGATAGGCCTAGAGTCTGGTCTGAGAGGAGGATTGAGAGCTAAATCCTTCTACATAATAAAGTGGGAGGAATTTTAAGTCTTTGCCTAGGGGGTGGAGGCAGGAGGGTGGAGGGATGCTTGTAATGGGGAGCAGAAAAGGGTTTGGAGAAAAGATCTCTAGGATGAGGATGGGCCAGCAATGTGACAACACCCTGGAGCCTATGAATCTGGTGAGAGATTTCTTGTAATTTTTAAGAGAGATATGTATAATCCTTTGTTATCCTCTTTAACCTCCAGTAGATACTGACAAATGAAGTCAATGCTTTTTCTGTGGCATCAGCTACAATCTTTGAACCTTTAATGTATGAATCGGGAGATAACCAGGAAAGAGTCAATGCTCAGGCTCACATAGCAACACTTGGCTAAACATATGAGGACTATGATAACTTGCCTTTTTATTGCTTTTCTTCAAAAAAGTTCAGAGAACTTATGCTTTTATTTCCTCATCTGTTCTAACATTCCAGTGTGGGAGGGGCAAATGTATGATAACATTATTTAGAGATGGGGAAATTGAAATAGAGATTAAATCGCTTACTCAATGTTGCATAGTTGGGGTGGCGAAGCCCACAGTGGAATTTGGTTCCACAAGCTCCTGCCACGAAGTGGAGAGATCATGAGTTTTGGAATTAGAGGGATCTTTGTTTGAACAACCCTAATTTCTGCCCCTTAATAAGAATGTGGCCTTTAAGTCAATTACTTCATCTAAGCCTCAGTTTTTCTCTTCTGTACAATTAAGGCCATAAAACCTCATAGTAGGGTAGTGAAGATCAATTTAGAAAATGTAGGTTAAGCCCTTGCACAGAGTAGTTCGCAAATGAGATTAGTTCCATCTCCAACCCAGTAGTATCTGGTTAAATTTCAGTACAAATTGACAGTAATCAAAAAAGAATCCTATTAATTTTTTTTTCTAGCCTCCTCTCCTACTGAAAGCAAAACATAAATAAATAAATCACTTAATTTACTGGGAAGAACTTTTGCTTCAGTAGAGTCATTTCTGTTGGGGATAATTAGAAAAAAAAAGGTGGGGGCGGGGATTTCTGGAAGACAAGATAGCAGAGTTCAGAGGTTCTAAAGCTTGAGAATGTATCAGAACCACCTGAGAAGGCCTGTCAGGACACAGATGGCTGGGCCCCACACCAGTTATAAGGTCTGGAGTGAGGCCTAATAATTTGCATTTGTAACAAGTTCAAAGATGATGTTGATGATAGTAGTCCAGGGACTACATTTCAGAGAAGCACTAGCATAGTTAAGTGAAATTCTGGGGGTGAGGTCCAGCCCTGTGTGTTTTGACAAGACCTTTCGGTGATTCCTAGGCATTCACAAGACTGAGAACCTCTGGCATAGTGGTGAAAAGCAGCTGAGGAGAAAGACTCACATTCAAATCCTGGTTGCACCATTTACTAGTTAGATGACCAGATTCAATGACAAACCTTCAGTGCCACTGCATCCAGCAGGGAGCCTGACAATGTCTGCGATTCAGGGTTCCTCTCGCTATCCCTCTAAGCCCTCGGTGGAAAGTAGTGAGTCCTGCCAGCCCAGGCTCTGTTTTTCACTTCTTCACACTCCAAGGCACGAAAGGCTGATAAATTTGGCCATTAGAGAAGTATTTACAAACATTTCTGTGATCACAGAAATAAAACAAGGCAGCACTGTTAAAAAAAAAAGCCCAAAGCAAAGGCATTGTTTACATCTTTCAATTCGTAATAACAGGTTGCGAACTATTTTCATTTCCCCTGACTTTCTTAGTAGAAAATTTAAAAAATCTTCCTCTTCCTCCCCCACAGTTTTAAGAGATGCTTGTAAATTTGTTTGGCAGATAGTATGCATGCTAAGCGCTCCCTGCCAGCCCCTGACCCAGAATCTAGCCTCAAATACAGAAACTACCTCAGATGTTTGGTGCCTTTCTGATTTTGTGGTTGAGGAATCCTTTTTTCTGCCTCCTTCCCCTGCCTGTCCTCTGACTCCAGGTCCTCGAAATGTCTCAGCTCACAGTGTCACAAGTAGCCAGGCTGGCCCCAAGACATTGTTTGGCTCACCTGCCTTCATTTTTCCCATTGCGAAAACCTCTGTTGTTTATAGTCTTCCGCGACCCTATGGACTGCAGCCTGCCAGGCTCCTCTGCCCATGGGATTTGCCAGGCAAGAATACTGAAGTGGGTTGCCATTTCCTTCTCCAGGAGATCTTCCTGACCCAGGGGTTAAACCCATGTCTCTGGCATTGTAGGTGGATTCTTTACCACCGGTCCTCTTGGGAAGCCCTCTACTCTTCTATTTCCTTATTTCCTTCACTAACCTTTTCAATCACCTATTAGTAATCTGTAGTTTTCCAAATTACCTCCTTCTAGAGTGATTCCACTGGAGGAAAAATTGTTCCTATCAGTGACAAGGTATGAGAATGCTTGATTTTTACCCAGACCAGGTGGTGCTAGAGGTAAAGAATCTGGCTGCCAATGCAGGAGACGCCGGTTCCATCCCTGGGTCGGTAAGATCCTCTAAAAGAGGGCATGGCAACCCACTCCAGTATTCTCGCCTGAAGAATGCCATGGACAGAGGAGCCTGGTGGGCTACCGTCCATAGCGTTGCAGAGAGTCGGACACTACTGAAGCAACTTAGCACGCAACATTTTCATTTTGAATTCCTCTAACAATCCAGAGATGATTATATATGTGTGCGTGTGTGCACATGCAAACACACATACACAGCAACTACATTAAACATATCACAAAGGAGGAAAACAGGCCTAGAGAGGTAAAGTAACTTGCCCAGGGTGAAAAATAAAAGTATAAAATATCAGGACCCAGGCAGTAAGCTTCCAGTTTCCCAGTTCTTAGCCTCAAGTGATGGAATAAAGGAATATAATTTGATTCCTGTCCTCAAAGAACTTAAAACTCGTGTCAGGGATGGGTGAAATTTATACACACAACATGAGTTAAAATAAAATCAAGAACTAATGTTTGTGGTATCGGGTTTGGTCTCTTTCGACCGGTTGCCTCCGCTGCCAGAAGTAAAGGGTAGCACCAACCTCAAGGGATTTGAGGACGATTAACTGAACTAAGCGCCAAAACGCTTAATACAGTGTCTATCACGCAGTAGGCGGTCAATAAATGTTAACTACTATTATTTTTAAAGGAGGCAAACTGGGGTGGTAAGAATACTGGAGAGAGTCGGAAGGCGGGTGAAGGCGCTGGACCCTGGCACCTCAATCTTCTGAGCCTCAGTTTTCTCCTCTGTACAATCAGGTGGCCTGAGTAGAACACGTCGAAGAGCTGTAAACGCTTCACCGGGACTTTGGGGAAAGGCGGAGCCGCGGGGCAGAAAGGGTTAGCAAAGAGCCCGGGGGCGGCTTTGCGGGCGCCGGCGGCAGAGGCCCCGCCCCGCCCCGCTTGGGAGGCCCTGGCAGCTCCAGCCCGCGAGCAGTTCCGGTGCCAAAACCTTTCCCTCCCCCGCTCCCCCGGAAGTGCTTTTCTAGGGTTCGGGCCGTAGAGAGGCCTTGTAGGCACAGACGCTGAGGCTTGGTCGGCTCCGAGGAGGGGCTCCTGCCCGTGTGGGAGTTGGGCTGTAGTTCCCGACTTCGGCGACCTCTAGGTCTGTCGTCGGGCTCAGTAATTAGCTGGGGTCCCAGGAGTGTCGTCTCTTCGGTCCCAGGGCGGGGCGATGCGTGTGTAGACGCCAGAGATCTTCTGCTAGGCTTTCCGTCTAGACTGATGTAGGGGTTGCTCGGGATCGGTTTGGACTGCGCTTGGGACCGGTGTTGGAGACGTAGGGCAGTGTGGCACCAGCGTGCCTCGCATGATCTTTCCTCACTGGAAGGCTTACTCAAGCTGTTGTTGAAGTCACTCCTTAAAACAACAAACTTGCTTGAGAAAAATCAGGAGTTCAGGTAAGTTCCCTTATTTTCTCCCCCGACGTTAGGAGATGATGCTACTCTCTAATCTGCACTGCTAATTTTTGTGGCTATCTGAAGTCACAGTGGTTTGGTGAGTTCAATCTGCGGTTGTTGTAAGAATTGACTGCGTAGGGTTGGAGAATTATTATACCCTCTCTTTCTCAAAGTTTGTTTACCTTCATGTTTGGAATTGTCATTTTTCTGAACTTTTAAAGAAAAATTGTGCTCTGTAACTCCAAGGAGACTCCTTAGACTGTTACAGCTGTTGCTGCAATGCAGAGGTTCACACAGGTGGCCAGAGGTGTTTTTGCTGTTGTGTTTTTTGCTGTTTTATTGTATTAGGCGTTTACTTCAGATAAATTGAGTCTTTCGTAGAGGAGAAAGTGATGTAGGTAGTTGTTTTTAGCAAACAGGTTTTAGGTAATAAACTACTCCTGAAAGGTTTGTAAGAAATTGGATTTCCCACATTTAATAGTGGTTTTAGAATTATGATCATAAAGGAATGCAGTTACTGTTGATTTTGACTGCCAGCAAATAACCATCACTTTTGCAGTGTAAAGTATATGCACACCACCTTTGTGAAACCAGTGACACTTTCCTGTACTTCTCATCTTGTGCTTATATTAGGACTTATGCTCTAGTTTTTTGGGAGTACTTATCTCATTCTCCTTCCACCACCGGAAGGGAGTGATCTCATGAATTAGGNACTTTTGCAGTGTAAAGTATATGCACACCACCTTTGTGAAACCAGTGACACTTTCCTGTACTTCTCATCTTGTGCTTATATTAGGACTTATGCTCTAGTTTTTTGGGAGTACTTATCTCATTCTCCTTCCACCACCGGAAGGGAGTGATCTCATGAATTAGGGAAAATAGACTGAAGTGACTCTTCAGGGAGCTGTCTTATGCACAAGAAAATTTATTTCACCATTGTTGATCTTCTACAGGTAAAGGGTGGAGGATTTTTAAAGCCCCTGCAAAAGATTGTGGCGTGAAGACTAGTTGCCCAACTTTTAGATTTAGATGGAAACTGTAGATTCTTAGCTATTTGAAATGCTTGGGATATTGAAATTGAGAGAATCTGGAAAAGGAGTCAGGTTAGATACAGTTATGAATTCGTACTGAAGATGTAACAGTGTGTTTTGAAGGGAAAGATTTCAAGAATTGTAAGAATAGAAAAAGGAAAAATCAGATGCCCAAAGTAAATTTAATTATGTTCACCTTAATTCAGCAGATACTGAACGTTTGCATTGGAAATTATATTATTCAGGTCAGTTCAACAGACTTGCCGTGTTAGGCATCAAACTTTGTTAGGCAACCACGTAGGAGCGAGAAAAGATACAGCCGTAACAACTAAGCTTCATGTTTTGGCAGTAATTTTCTAAGGTGTGTCAAAAGTCATGAAGAGAGTATTAAATATTTAGGCATATTAAATTTTTTTTTCTAATTGGAGGTGAGTGCCTTGTGCTTCATGAAAACCACTGCTAGGCATTAGAGGATGCAAAGGTTAAGTCTTGGGTCTTCAAGAATTTGAAATATAGAAGGAGATGTCAGATATTTGTATAATAATTTACAGCATATAAAAATAAATAACTTCCTATGTGAGTGGTTTGATCTAAAGTTTGGAGTTGTTTGCAAGTAAAATGTGTTCATTTTTCTTGAGTAAAACGGAAGGTGGTGGAGGTATAGTAATACTTTTAAAGTTAGCTCTGAAGCTGTTATTTATTGAGCATTTCATACATACCAGGCTCTATGCTAGTTGCTTTACATACCTTTTCTAAGCTTCACAACAATATTTGAGCATGTTTCTTAATAATGAGGTCACTGATACTTAAGTAACTTATTTGGACTATGTAGTAGCAGGTAACTGATCCCTAGTTTGAATACCAGTCTGCCTGGTGCCAAAACCTGTGTGTTTTTGCTACAACATGCTAATCCGGATAAACCAGCAGCCTGAGTTCAACATTACAGAGGGTAAGACTTTTCTAAGACAAAAATTTAGGGGCTGGAAGTAGGTGGATGAAGAAGGCTTGTTAAATAAAGGGAATGATGTGAGGACAAGTATAGAGGTGGGAAAGTTCAGTGTGTACTCAGAGGAAAGTAAGTGGGCCAGATTACCTAGAATATAGGGTTCATTTTGGGGAAGAAGAGGTGAGGTTTGAAATATAAATCGGGGCCAGATTGTAGAACATGTTTAAATGCTGTATTTCAGAGTATTTGGGAGGTAATGAGACACTACCAAGGTTTAATAGTGTAGCGTGTAGAATGATTTGTTGTAGAAAGCTGATTTTCAAGAGACTATAAATAATAGGCAAAGGCAGTGGTATCATGATTTAGGTAGGTGGGTGGGAGGAGGGATTGTTGGGAAAGATTTGGAGGAAGTGGAGGTTAATGATTACACATATTTTAATTGTAGGTGACGGCAGTGGTGGTATTATTACTAAAAAATATGGGCAAGGAGGTGCATAATGAGATCAGTTTTTAATATAGTGAGTTTTTTATATACTTGACAGACACTGAAAATAGTCAGAATTTTTTGAAAATATGGGTTTGTAGTTCATGAGAGAGGTCAGTGCCAGGCGTATATTAAACATTGGTGTAGAAAATAATATAAATAGATGTATTCATTGAATCTGTTTAAGATGAGAGTCAAGGGAGAGTCTGGATGGAAAGAAAAGAAGAAGAACCTTTCTTTTAGATGGCAGCTGTTTAAAGCAGAAGGAAGAGACACTAAATAGGTAGTTTTATTCAGTGAGTAAAAGTTTTGGTAGTCTGTGTACTGCTCCCTCACATTGTAGACTCAAATGGTGTAGAGAGAATCTGATCATTGGCAATCTGGTTGGGAAACAACTTTCTTGCTGCGCTATCAATACTCTATCTCAGGGAGGAGGAACTGTGTCAGACTCATTTGGTTCATTGTCAGGCTTTGGTTACTTTAGAGCTGTCTGGTCGTTTCTTTTGGACTGTTGTTGGCAAGTGATACGTGAGGATTTGGAAAATTTCTGTCATTGTATTCTCTTTATATGTATGACTTTGAATTTTGGTTTCAGTATCAAGAATTTCTGATTATTCAAAGACAATTTTTGTCCCTCCGATTACTGCTGGCAGATAGCAGTTCCTTTCATAGAAAATGGTGTTTAATTGCGTATTTTTCTTCCAACTCCCTTTTATAAGTACTTTTGATTAACATGAGTAGTTTTGTCTCTAATGTTTGGGTTATTTTAGAGAGAATGATAAGACACTTACCATATAATGATACATATATTAAAAACTATACATTTTGATTTTGAAAGTATTTAAGAACTATATAGATTTATAGAATTTCATGTGGTTTCCTGGTTAAATATTTAAGGGAACCTGTATATCAGTGTGTAAAAAAATGGTAGTTATTTGCAGAATGAGGCTTAGTTAGAGTTGTAACTTTTTGAGGGCAAGTTGATTATTTGTAGATTAAATTATGGAAGTGTTTATTTCCTTCTTTTTTTTTTTTTTAATTTTTATTAGTTGGAGGCTAATTACTTTACATCATTACAGTAGTTTTTGTTATACATTGAAATGAATTAGCCATGGATTTACATGTACTCCCCATCCCAGTCCCCCCTCCCACCTCCCTCTCCACCCGATCCCTCTGGGTCTTCCCAGTGCACCAGGCCCGAGCACTTGTCTCATGTACCCAACCTGAGCTGGTTATCTGTTTCACCCTAGATAATATACATGTTTCAATGCTGTATTTCCTTCTTGAGAATTAACGTATTCCTTCTGTTTTTTAGGGATATGTTTTCCGCTCTTGTCGCAGGCACTTGGGAGCACCCCAGTCCTGTGTCAGCGTCGTTGGAGGCGGTGGGGCTCGTGTGTGCTCTCTCTGGGCTGGGGAGCTTAGCTGCAGTGAGCCTGGTATTAATAAGGCAAAGGTCAGGAGCACCATTTAGCTTCAGTCTGAGCGATGGCCGGGGAGTGCACCGCTCACTCCTGCCAGCTGTCCTGGAGATTCCTTGGTTGTCACTGGTCACAAAGGTGACTGGACTAGGGTGGATTTTTTTTTTTTTTAAACCACTGGAAGAATATTAGAGGAAATTTAGCATAGTGATTAGAAACTCCGACTCTGGAATACGACAGACCTATGTCATGAGTTTGAGTAAACTCTGGGAGCTGGTGTTGGACAGGGAGGCCATGGGGTTGCAAAGAGTCAGCCACAACTGAGCGACTGAACTGAATTGAACTGATGTCAGAATTCTTGGTCTGTGATCTTGGGAGAGCCTCTAAACTCCTCCAGTGGAGAAAGCCTCGATTTCCTCATTATTGAATAGGTTAATATTTGGTTTGGGCATGTCCTACCATTGCTTTCTTTTTCCAAGTGGAGGTTAACTGCTTGTACCTGTGGTTCCCAAGTGCTGGACTGTGGAGTCGTGTCAGTCCACGACAGAGTTGTCACTTGTCTGAAGTGAAATGAGAATGAATGAACTTCTCATGAAGCTACGTT